GAAGGACAAATAGATGGAGCTGTTAATCAGAATCATGTTATCCTCTCATAAAATTGTACCTCTCGGACAGATTATTCTAGGGCAAAACACAACGAACCACTCGATTTCTGTTACTTTCTATTACTTTATTCTATACAATCACTATCATATATATCGTATATTCGCCAGTCTTCCCGACAATACGAAATAGTACAACAGCTACCTTCGAGATACTCCACGAAGCCTCAAAAGAATTACAACGAAATAGAGCTCTGGTTAAGAACACGGAGAACTAAAATCAATGTTATCCGTCCTATATGTTTCCCAGTAGAATTAAACGATAATGAAATACCGTAGCAGAAAACAGCCAAGTATATACTAGACGGAAAACTATTATGGAAAACGCGCATTCATAAAGAAAAGGATTGATTAAGCGAAAGGCGTAGAAAACTTTTATGTCTGATTCGTAAACAGTCGCAATAAGTTTGTCAATTATAGGGCATAGCCTTAGACTGCAACATAAAAACAATAGAAAGATGACAGAATGAAAATCCAGGAGCTACGATGAATGCAGATTGGTACATTCGAAACCAGCAAGTAATAATTAAAGAAATTCCCTCCGTAAAAGAAGAAATTGTGCCAACATCTTGGCCATAAGTACATCTTCGAAGAACGTAGAAGATTGAAGAAATTTTATTTTCTGCGGGTACTTCAGATTTAGCTGAACAGCTGTTCAGTTAAACAGCATTAGTTTGGTATACCATTGAATGTATCGATGTTCAGGTCAACCTAACCCAGCACATGTCGATGCTCATTATCATTAAACGATAGATTGCACATATGCAAATATTTAAAAAAATTTATACATTTAGATATATTGCGTCGACTGGATGTACGAATGAAATCGTAACGTGAAATCGGAACATTTATAAATCCTATACTCGGTACAAACATTCATTAAATCTAACGGAAACTTTTGGTTAAAAGTGAAAGGTTCTTCGTGTACGATTATTATTATGCGATGTGCGATATGATGTGCAGAGAGTAACCGAAATCGACACATTCGGATGGCTTAAGGATACATACCCTTTTGGTAATTGGAACGGAATATCATGGTGGCCAGTTTCGATATAATGTACATACGTATGCATTAAAAATTTCCAATAATTTAATTTCTCTTGTCCATCATTTCAATGTGATATCTTGCGGGATGTTTTATCTTTCTGAGAATTTCTGTAGCTTCGACTTTCTGACATCACTTCTTAGCTGAAAAGACATTTTGGGGAAGACAAATATATCTAAATTATTAATTTTTTGTAAAAAATTGTAAAATTAATATTACTCCTTAACTGACATCGTTGGATCGAAAGCGTGTGCTTATTTTCAACAGAATATGATTTAGTTACAAAATTACAAATAGATTGACTCAGGACGATTTTACTCTTTATTAAGGTTGTCGAAAAACATTGTGACATTATCAAATCCGTGTGAAAATGCAGTAAAAAGGTTGGTATCTATAAGTATCAAACAATATGGAGCAGTTTCGTTAGTTAAGAGTTCGTTGTCTCAATTCTCGGTTAAATGACGAGCTACATATTCCTCGTTTTAGTTTAAATATAGCAAAGTATTTGATCCTAGTCTTGGCAAAAGTAAAAAGAAAAAAAGAAAAGGGTGTTGTTTTATTATCGCTTTAACAACACAACAAAAATATAAATCTTTTGTTGAAATTGCATTAGGTGATCATTCGCAGATGATCAGGTGCATTACTTACACGCTGAAGAAGTAGATACGTTTCGGACGTACCAGCACCGTTTCTAGTTGGATGCAACGTCTGATACAAAAAAAAAAACTATTTCGATGTCTGTCTAGCGCAACGTATATAATTATTATATAATTATTATAATCAACGTACACGGGCAAAGAATGGCTTTATGTGAAAAAATAAGAAAAAAATTTGATATAACGTTTCTCCATCCGAGGTTTTGTTCCCGGCAAAATCGAGTTTCAAAATTTGACAAGCATACTTAAAATTGGCTAATTCCCGGACTGAACAGGAGTTTAAACTACATGTGGAAATAGCTACATACAAAGGTCTAGGAAAACATTTTTACTTAAGGTGTTTTGTTTTTGTGAGAAAAATAAACTTAAAAATCATATCATACGCGTGTATCAAAGTAGTTCGTAATTAAACACGCTCAAATAATATCTTCTTGAAAATAAGACTATACGGGCAAATATTACTTAACATTTTGAACTTATTTTAACATTTATAATAACTTCGTATTGATTGTTTATTCATAACTAATCGGTACTTAGTTAAGCAAGTCAAAGTATATGTCCGATTTACTTGTTAATTAATTGTACTACAATTTCCGAACCACGAAATAATTTTTTTTTCGAAGAATCGAACAACTTAGGCTGTGATCAAAAGTTTAAAAAATCGCCTCACTACCGTGGTGGTTAAATTTATCATTTAGTTGACTACGCTGTATTTAGTATAGCCTAATTATCGATTATCCGAAACTCGATAGTAACCTGTGCTGTTCGAGTATCAAAAATGTCCGGCACTTCAAATTTCATACAATTTATTGTGTGCGATAATTTATAACGGGCAAATTTTACTTGAAGTAACAAAAAAAATATTAACAACTTGAAATGATGCTCATTTGAGCGAACTTGCAATACCAATATGTAATTTAGTACTCTAGGTACAATTTTCAAATGAAATAACAAATACTTTACCTACGGACTGCTGTGACACATTACAATATAATCGATTCGAATTATTGTGTTTTCGATAAATTCGATCACTTAATTTTGTATCGAATTTTCACAACGTCGCTACGAAACAATGCATCGTACTTTTCACATTTTAGGAATTTCCATTTGTTTATCAATATATTTAAGAATTAGAAGCATTTCCACTTCCAATAGAATCCCATTGAAGCAAAAATCCCATTGAATTTATTGAAGCAAACGATATTATAGTTTGTGGAAGATTAGTATATTAACAGATTCGTGGATTAAACGTATCTATCTGGGCATGAGCTCCTGTTATTTGAATATGAATCTTTAATATTAGGTTGTCCGAAATGTTTCTTTCGTTTTATAAGGAAATAATAGACGCACAATGTTTTTTGTTTTATATTAATTTATTGAATTATGCACGAACATAATAATAGAAATGGAACAATTATGCACGAACATAATAATAGAAATGATAGAAATGGAACGAAATGGATCATACTTAATTCAATAAAATAATATAAAACAGAAATTGTTGTTCATCTATGATCACCTTATGAAACGAAAGAAACTTTTCGGACAACCTAATACTAAGGACCTTGGACAAATTTTCATTATACGAATCATTCGTCATCGATCAGTTTAAATAAATGAGATTTCGTTATGTGTCTTAAAATTCAAAAGGTATAGTACAAATGTTTGCATTGCCTTCGATTTCTTAAGTATTGCTCAGCCACTAAATTGGACAAGGAACTTGTGATATTCTCAAAAAATGTATCGTTGTAAAGTCATTGGATTCACCTATCTAATAATGATTAGTTCTCGATAGGAAAGATATGCCACCCATTTAGAAAAATGTGGATGTTTTTGATTTTTCTTGATTACATTTTCTTGATTGATACAGATGTTTTGTGCAAATGTGAATGTATGGATATATGGCATTCAAATCTAGAGGTGTATCAAAAAAAGTAATTCGAATATTATTCAAAGATTTGAAAAGAAAACCTTTTGTACAGCAGTCACTTAGTTCCACGGCATGCAAATGGAGATGTTGATAAAAATCATAATAAATGAAATTGTAATTGAACTGATTAATCATATGATTAAAAGCTTAAAACAAATTTTAAAATTCGACAATAAAATTAGATGATTAGTGTATAATAAATAATAATATCGAGTGTTAATTACAACATAACCACATTATGTGCGTCAAGTTTCCTAGTTAATTCTAGTAGTATAGGAATTAAAATTTCTTTTTATCGATACCTATCGTTCGCAATTAGTGATAAGTGGCGATTTCGACGATAATTTTATGATTATTGATTGAATGTAAAGATCATATGCGATGTCATCTAGTTGATAACTATGTGTACCGTTTTTCTAATTTATTGAAATTATTTCTCGGAAATGAGAATGCAAATTCGTTTATTCATTCGTCCATGACGCACAATCTTAGAGAAATAATTATACTTATTACTTTATATACTTATGATATGTACTTATTATTATGCACATACATATCTTATGTTATTATCTTAGTTAATCTTAACTTATTTCGAATTACTTTACACATTTGTAAATAATTGTGTTGTAAATTACAAAATTTTTGAATCTACTTCGTGCTATCCTGTACGTCTATGTAACATGACGATAAAGATACTTATAAGAAAATCTGTATAATAGTATTTGAAGCAAAATTGACGCAAGTATTGTACGCAAGTATTGTACGCAAAATGAAATATAAATCTTATACAGTGTAAAGTATCTCTCTAATTCATACAAAATCACCTTTATTTTTTGCGCGCGAGGAGGGGAAGATGCTGTTACGCATACCCAGTGACCCGCGTCACTGAGTTATGTGGAACTCGGCAGATGGCGTCGCCGTACCCACTAAAAACTCCTCCTCCTGTTCACTGTATTGAGGTACTGGAGGTACCAACCCGGTACAATCATTCGACATTACTTTGGGTTGGCCTCTACTTATGCGTATCCATCTTCATGGGCAATCTTCCACGCTAAACTCTCCTCCTCCTGCTTTCTCTTCTCCGCAGGGCCTCCACCTCCCTCTCCTTGTTAAGCCGATTCGTCATGACCCTGGTGCACATTTTACTAAATTTGAGCCATAGCCGCTCCTCGGCGGCCAGCTTCTCCACGATCCGCCTCTCTATCCTACATTCTTCTCCTATCTCGGCCTCCAACTCCGCGCGCTCCCCTGTCCATCTAGGGCACCAGAACAGCACGTGCTCGGCATCGTCCACGGCGGCTCCGCAATCCCATCAACTGGGATGCGTCTCTTTTCCAATCCTGTGACGGTACCAGTTAAAGGTACCGTGCCCAGTGAGAATCTGCATGACGTAGTAGTTGATGCCCCTTTTCGTTCTGTAGAAGATCAACGGATCCTCTATCAACCTCTTAGTCCAGCTGTACGGATTGTGGGCCATCCATTCCACCCTCCACCTGTCCTCGGCTTCGGTCTTCAGCCTCTCCATCTCCTCGTACAATGCCGGCTCCGTTCCCTCTGCATTCTTGACGATCCGCCTCTTCACGCCGTACTGCTTCCACCGCAACCACGCCTTAATGTGTGTGGGCATGTTACTTGTCACCACGCACAAGGCTCCATGTGACACTGTACGGTAGGCGGTAGACATACGGATCATCGCTGCCCTCTTGGTGATATTCCTGATCTTCGCCTTGCCCATGGATGAGGCCCATATAGGTGCACCATACAGGACCACCGACTCCCATACCCCATAATAGAGCCTTCGGACCGCGTCCCTAGGCGCATTCACGTTGGGGGCCCCGTATGGCGCCCAAGAACCATTCCGCCTTGTCACACGCCGATTCGATGTGGGGGGAGAACCCCCTAGCATTATCCAACCAAACTCCCAAGTAATTCACTGTCTTGCTAGTGGAGATTTCCCCCCGTCCCCCACGTCGTAGTTAAAACTCGTCGGTATCCTCTTCCTGGTTAGGAGGATAACCTCCGTCTTCCCTCTTGCCAGATGAAGTCCCACGTCGCTGCACCAACTGGTGGCCGTGCTGATGACCGCCCTTATCCTGTCCTGGATGCCGAGGAACTCCCTGGCCTTAAGGAGTACCGCCAGGTTGTCGGCAAACGCCACGGCTTCGATGTCCTTCTCCCGGCCGAGCGTCTCCAAAATTCCGTCGTACACGAGGTTCCACAGTAGCGGTCCTAAGACCGACCCCTGCGGAATCCCCGTACCGACCTTCCTCCTAACGATGCCGTCCCGGCAGTACGCTATGATCCTCTCATCGGCCAGGTAATCCCCGATCAACCCCTGAAGTCGTCCTGGCAACCGCCTTCTTCGCATGTCCTGGATGCCGAGGAACTCCCTGGCCTTAAGGAGTACCGCCAGGTTGTCGGCAAACGCCACGGCTTCGATGTCCTTCTCCCGGCCGAGCGTCTCCAAAATTCCGTCGTACACGAGGTTCCACAGTAGCGGTCCTAAGACCGACCCCTGCGGAATCCCCGTACCGACCTTCCTCCTAACGATGCCGTCCCGGCAGTACGCTATGATCCTCTCATCGGCCAGGTAATCCCCGATCAACCCCTGAAGTCGTCCTGGCAACCGCCTTCTTCGCACTTCCTCCAGAATACTCCGCAGCCTCAGCGTATTGAACGCGTTCTTCACGTCAAGGGCGACCAGAACGCATACCAGGCCCTTTCTTCTGCAGTCCTCTGAAACCGCGACCGTCCTATTCAGGGCTTCGAGGGCCCCCTCCTCCTCCTGAAACCAAACTGGTCCTTGTGGAAGGGATCTCGCCCGATGCTCCTCTCGATGAGTATCTTCAGCGTGTGCTCCCAGATCTTGCTCAATGCCGGCAGTATGCTGATCGGCCTGTAAGCCTACGACAATGCCGGGTCTCTGTTGGGCGTGGGTATCAGCATCACCCTAGCCACCTTCCATACCGCCGGTATCCTACCGCAGTTGTTAACTCCATTGAGCGCAGCTAGGAGCACCCTCGGTCTTCGTTCCGCCAGCAGTCTGATCAAAGTACCGGGGATCCCATCCACCCCTGCGGCCTTCCTAGGATCGCATTTCCTGACAGCCATCTTCAAATCGTCCTCGTTTATCCGTAGATCATCGGCTCCGTCTGGTACCCCAGGTGGGGCCAGTCCGATTTCTGGCCTATCCAGTCGCGATTGCTGCTCGGTAACGAAGAGGTCGTCCAGGATACTCGCTACCCTGTCACCTCCGAGGGGCTCGGATGGTGCCGACCGCACTAATCTGCTCCTCACCACTTGATACGGCCTACCCCACGGATCCTGGTCTAAAGTGGCACAGAACCTCTTCCAGCACTCCTCCTTACTGCGTTCGATCGTCCTCTTCGGGCTCCTTCGCGCAGCCTTGAATTCGGCCACCAGGACTTCGGCATCTTCCCTGCGAGCCATCGCCGCTCGTTGCACTTTTCTCCTGCTCCGGCACATTGCGCTCCTTAACGTGGCTAGCTCGCTGTTCCACCAGTAATTGGCTCGTCTTCTCGCCCGCGACGGGAACTTCTTCCTCAATGTCTCGGCACACGTGCGCTCCAAACTATTCTGTAGCCTTTCGTCGCATGCCGACTCGTCGCTTTTTAAAACGTGCCCCGCGTAGACAGCGTCGAATTTGCTCACAAAGCTATCCGCATCGATCTGCTTCATCGAGTGCACGAACGCCCCGCCAACCGCTCTCCTAACGCTGCTCGTAAATACGTATAGTATATAATAATGGTCAGAGGCTGAGTACCAATCCAAGACGGCACTCCTCCTCCAACTCAGCCTCATACGTCGAACGATACACAACACATCTGGGAAGCTAGTCCTTCCATTCCTCAGAAAGGAATAGTTCCCCGTCGTCCTAATCGGTACCAAACCGCGCTTCGTGATCACGTTCAACAGGCATGCCCCCTCCGTTCGGTACTAATGCCACCCCACACTCTAGACTTGGCATTAAAGTCGTCGGCGACAATTAGCGCCGGTGCGCTTCTCCTCGCCTCCTTCAGAACCCCGTCTAGTTCCCCCCAAAAAGCATCGAAAACGCACCTAGTCGTATTCGGAGAACAGTACCCACTGACAGAGAACACGTCGCTGACCCTGATTCCTACGATCCCAGCCTGTTGGACCAGGGTCTCGCTCATCGCGTATCTACCGTTAAACAGGGTGACCCATACTGTACACCTTGCCTCCACTTGCCCCAGCATGTGGCATCTGAAGCAGCGCTGTACGTTACTCAGTTGCCTTATGGAGGCAACTGTCAGCCCCGTTTTCAATCTTCTTTCCCTATCCTCGCCGGGGACCCCATTCGCAGGAAGTGCAACAACTGCCACCTGCGTACCCCATGGAGCCATCTTCATCGATTTCATTTCGACTTCCATGGTTTCGGGTATCCCCCACTGCAATCTCATCACATCCACTAACTCCTTTTTGGTTGTAAGAGGGTCGATGTTCTTAATTTGGAGGGTCGGTCTGTTCACCAGGGCTGCTACCTGCGTAGTATCGCTCAGGGCGGCTCTCAGCTTGGCCACTGCCTCGTTCACCGCCACCGCCCCATCAAATTCGATGAGGATGTGTCCAGCCCTCGTCCTGCGCACCCCGATGGCACCCTCTAGAGAGCTCCTGGCCTCCATGATCCTCCTGTAGATCTGTAGCCAGTCACCCAGCCAGTCACTCTCTTGCTTCACCTTCACCAGGATGGCTTCCCTCCTTCTCCTACTTCTCGGTACTTCCCTTCCAATAGCCTGTACCTCCCTGTCCCTGTCCGGATGCATCAAGTGCACAGGGTGGACCGGAGTATCCAGTACCGCCACGGGTGCTCTTCTCTTCTTCCTTCTTCTTAACAACCTCCTCCATCCATCAGATTCTTCGCTGCCCTCCTCTTCTCTTCGCGCGTCCCTGAATTGCTTCCCGCATGCCTCCGCGTAAGAAGCCTCTCCCCTCCTCGGCCTCTTTCGTTCCTCCGCTCTCAATATCTCCGCTGGCGATACCACCTTTCTCTTGGGGTGGCTGCCCTTGTCCATCGCTACTTCCTTCCTCGCTATTGTTCCCGCGCCTATCTCCTCTTCCTCCGGGGTTCTCTTCCTCCTCCTTTTCCTCGCTTTCCGCTCCTCCCAAGTAGGACAGGATACCCTTTATCACGTTCCCCATCCCCCTGATGCCCTCGTCATCGTCCTTGTCCAATTTAAGTTTTCGGACCGCCATACCTAACATCTGTACCGCTCCCGCGAGGGCCGGCTCAATCCTTTAAGTTTCGCCCTAGAGATGAGGACGTCTTCTTCTTCCTCACCGTCGCTAGGCTGGGTATCCTCCCTGGTACTGTCCTCCAGCTCGCTAGCTGTGGTCGACCTAATCAGTCTTTTGGTGTTTCTATTTACCACCTTCCTCACCAACTGCACCGACGGCCCTTTCCTAGGTATCACAGGCGTGGTGAAGTCACTGTCCCTTACACCGTAGGAACCGCCCGACTCCTCGTCGTCGTCCTCGTCCAATCTAAGTTTTCGGACCGTCATACCTAACATTTGTACCGCTCCCGCGAGGGCCCGGGTCAATCCTTTAAGTCCCGCCCTAAAGATCAGGACGTTTTCTTCTTCCTCACCGTCGCTAGGCTGGGTATCCTCCCTGGCACTATCCTCCAGCTCGCTAGTCGTGGTCGCCCTAATCCGCCTCCTTTTGGTGTTTCTATCTACCACCTTCCTCACCAACTACACCGGCGACCCTTTCCTAGGTATCACAGGCGTGGTGAAGTCGCTGTCCCTTACACCGTAGGAACCACCCGACTCCTCCATCACCTCCACCTGAGATCTACCTCCGATCGTCGGGTTTCTCTGAAGCTTCTTCGTGGGTCTAAAGGGATCACCCTCTTTTACTCCCTTCTGCCTCGAGATTACCGATATGGTGACCTTCTCATTCAACCTGATATCCGCCACCTTCCCCGGCTTCTCCCCACTCAGTGATAGCTTCCTCGTCTCTCCTTCCTTATCTCCTTTGTCCCCTGTAGTAATTACCGTACGAGGGGATGCCCGGGGATCCACCTCTCCCCGCCGTTCTTCCAGTCGCATGATGACCGTCGGGTCGAGCCTGGGAAGCTACTCGAACTCCCGACGGGGCATGGGGGCTCCGAAACCCCCTGCGCCGTAAGTTTCAATCCTTTTCTCGTTTTATCCATATTTATTATTGTCATTCATTGTCCATGTGAATCGCCAGGTCGTCAACATCCCCTTGTAAGCCATCCAAACATATCCAAGCATAGCCAATAAACTCGCCGTGTCGTCAACAAGTTAGCAGTCGGGCATAATAAATAAATAATTATAATGTATTAAGGTCCAACTAACTTTATTGTCACTATTTAAAAACAGTCATCTACTTATCTATCTATCTATTTCAGTTTTCCCTGTCAACACCTGCCTACTGCTAAGGACCCGATGATGCGCGCCCAGAACTCCGCAATATAGATAAATAACAACAATATATAATAAATACTGAACAATAAGTAATAAATACCATAAATGAATAAATAAATAATAAATAGGAAATAATAAGTAAGTAAATAAATAAATAAATAAGTAAGTAAGTAAATAATTAAATAATAAATACATAAATCAAATAAAACAATTGCTAGTTAATTAATACAAAACTATAAATAAATAAATATCATAAACTAAAAGAATAAAGAAATAATAAAATATTATAACATTATGTGTTACATCCAACCTACCTACTGTGTTAAATCCACCTACAACATTAGGTGTATACATCCAACCGCTACATACTCTAACCTACTAATCACCACGTAACTCCTACAGCCGCCCCATTACTTGGCACCCCATTACTTATTTATTTATTCCAGGCACTTAGTTCGGCTCATGTCACAAT